ACTGGTTGCCGAATGTCCGCAACCACATGAGTCGTCCGATGTTCCTACTCATGGGCGATTTCAACTTGCCCCGAATACAGTGGCCTGAAGCTGAACTACTCCCCGGCCACTGTGAAGTCGAGAGGAAGTTTACGGAGTTGCTATTTGAAACTGGGGCCACACAGCACATCAACCAACCAACACGCATTACAGCGCGCGCAACTCCATCATGCTTAGACCTGCTGTTGACTAGCTGTGAGCAGCGTGTATAGCCTCTAGGAGCCTCTAGGAGCGAGCGACCACTCAGTGATCATAGGCAGTTTAGAACTACCGCTACCGTATCCTCTCCCACTAGAGTCAGCCTTCAACTATTGGAAGGCGGACTTTAATGGCCTCATTCGAGCAGCGAGCCAGATAGACTGGTCTTTACCACAGGATTCATCTATTGAAACCTGTTGGGCTATCATTAAAGAGGGAGTGAAATCGTTGTGCGCCCGATTTGTGCCCCTCAAATTTCGGAAAGTTGGGCCAGTCAAACCACATTGGTTTGACAAAGAGTACAACAAAATGGCCCGACGGCGACGTAGACTATGGAACAAATTCGTGTTATCTGGCTCTGATGAGGACTACAATGCCTACAAGGTACAACGAAATCGCTGCAACAAGGCGAAAACAAGAAAACGCAGAAGCTTCGAAGAGGAGCTTGCAACTGCCACAAAAACTGCTCCCAAGAGGATCTTCGCATATGTGAAGCGGCGCCTAAGACCTATAGCTAGTATCCCAGTGTTAGAAGGCTCAGAAGGACAGCCTCTAACCTCGAGTACTGATCGTGCGTCAGCATTGGCAACGCACTTCGCCTCCGTATTCACAAGTGACCAGGTGTCTGTAATGAGTTCGACGAGCACCGCTCCAGCCGAACTTAACAGCCTGGACTGCAATATTGAGGATGTACGCAAGATTCTAGCAAATCTTGACGGGACGAAACCTGTTGGGCCAGATGGTATACACCCACTAATCCTCAAGTCATTATCGACCATAATTGCACCTTCTGTAACTGAACTGTTTAACAGGTCACTATCCACTGGTCTACTACCGGACGACTGGAAATGCTCAGTCGTAAAGCGTATCCCGAAAGGTGGTAACCCAAGCAAAGTGGATAACTACCGGCCGATCTGCCTGACGGCAGTTTTGGCAAAGACGCTCGAGAAGATTGTGAAGAAGAGCCTTCTGCAACTTCTCGAGTCGAAAAACCTGTTAACCTCCGCACAGCATGGTTTCCTGAAAGGTCGTTCGTGCATCACCAACCTACTGTTGACGAGGCACGAATGGTTACAAGCGCTGAACAAAGGCCAATCGGTTGACGTCATTTACACTGACTTCAGTAAGGCTTTTGACAAGGTTAACCATGCAGTGCTCCTTGACAGACTGAGGATGTGCGGTGTTGGTGGTTCGCTGCACAAATGGATCACCAATTTCCTTGTGGATCGAAAGTGGAGAGTCCAGGTGGACAACCATCTAACAGACTGGTATCCATCGAGCAGCGGCGTGCCCCAAGGCACTGTACTGGGCCCGATATTGTTTCTAATCCATATAAACGATGTGCCTCAGCTACTACAATCACATTGTGCTTTGTTCGCAGATGACTTGAAAGTGTGGAGAGTAATCCGCACACTCAATGATTGCGATTTACTTCAGCAGAATCTCGACTGCCTCTCAACATGGTCTGGAGAGGTTAACCTTCCGATCAACCCTGCCAAGTCGCAATTCATGAGGTTGGGTAAGTGTGATCACGGCCGAACGTACACAGTGGCTGGACAACCGTTGCATCCCGCTCCTTTCGTGCGCGACCTCGGTGTACTCTCACGCTGCGACCTAAAGTCCATTGACAACACGAATAGGCTGTACCAAAACAGCCTTCGTATGCTTTGGGCTCACAGGCGCAGCTTTAGCACTTGGTCCGAAGAGATTGCCACTCGCCTCTTCGTCTCGATAATACGACCAATGCTAGAGTACGGCACTCCCGCATATTGTCCCATCACTCGGGGCGAAGTAGAAAAGCTTGAGCGGGTGCAGCATGTAGCCACCAGGCTGATTCCCAACTTACGAGGTATGCCATACGAAGACCGATGTAAGAAACTAGGGTTATACACCCTATCTTATCGTCGGCTGAGGGTTGACCTCATCATGACGCACCGGATATTACATCTGGGTGATTACCCCATGTTGAGACAACTACTTCATCTGCGCACACCAAGCTGCACGCGAGAACACCGGTATAAACTTATCGTCCCGGATTTGAAGCGGGTCGCCCATCAACTCTGTTTCGAACGCCGAGTGGTGAATGTCTGGAACGACCTGCCTCAGCATATAGTAGAAGCGAACACAGTGGCTAAATTCAAGATGCTACTAGACCAACAATTTGCAAAGGCAAAGTACAAAGAGCGAAACGATAAACAAAAAGTTCATGTCCGAAAACGACGAATGATGCAGCTACACAGAGCAACCTCTACTCGCTGCTTCGCACCAGTTCTCAGTTCTCAGTTCATGGTTGCATGGTAACTTGCCGCCAATTTGTTGAAACGAACTGAATTGCATCGAGCACAGAAATCTTGACACTGACATTCCCGCCGATGATAAGCCAGCTAACACGGTGTTTACGATGAGCTAAAGAATTCGGTTCACAATTTACTTTCTGGAACGGATTTGATGATTTACCATCACACGGTCCACGGTTTGAATCATGTTGGTAGTTTTTGCGGGCAAAAATTCCAGTTGCATGTTATTCAGGCCATCTACCCGTGGACGTGTTTTGCAACTGTTCAACAGCAACATACTTGTTCGTCCAATTTGGCCTAGCTCTTTGTCCAATTGCAGGACCCACACGGTGAAAAGTTCTTAGGTCATCCACGCAGTTTTATGAGCTCTATATGTTAGCGGAAGTATATCCACATCCAAGCTATTAAAACATTGTGGTTTCTTACTTTTTTCAATCACAAACAGTTTTCAGCAAATTCATCATCGTCACTCCCAATCAGCAGGATTAGGCTAGCCTGAAAAAGCACCAGACGCCGGCGTTTCGACCTTCTGTGTCTCGTCAGTGGTGCGCCTTCCTGAGGACCCTTGCCGTGTGTCTACCCAATGTCTTCAGGATGCCAGCATCCAGTGCCACTTCGCCATGGGGGACATACACGGATCTGCGAGCATGACAGTTGACTATGATATAGCCCGGTTCATCCTCCAGTTTTCTTTTGTCCTTGCCCGACATATTCGTGCAGCATCATCATCATCATCATCAACAGCAGTACATCAGCCATTTGAACTGATGCTTCGCTGCCATACAACCATGAGGACCTATGAAATAAAGAATAAGAAGAGGGAGAGAAGGGGGACTTACCCGAAAACCTTAATGCCCTAAGCAAGCATTCAGGGTCAAGGCGCCTACACCTTGTGTTAACAACATACCGTCACAAACAGCTGGCTATCGTGCAAAGATAAGGCGGCATCGGCGAGACAGCTTCCTTGCGGCTTTCACTGCCACGCGTCATAATCAGCCATTACCCCGCAGATAACTCAGCACCAAACACACTTTAAACAGACAATCCGATTAGCAGACGGCAGCAGACGCGCCACTGGTGTCGGTTGCGAGCCATGTCCTGTAAAGTCTCGAGCCAAGCACAAGGTGAGTCACGTGGACTCCAGCCCGGAAGGCGAGAAGGACCAACGGCACCCAGTTTGGTCGTCAGTGACTTCATTTCCCGTTGCCAAGTCAACTTCTGTCCACCTCGAGCCTTGCGCCATCCGACACCTGGCAGACTGAACAAGGCCCTCCTAGGTAAGCGGTGAACAGGCATGCGTAGCACGTGCCCAAGCCAACGCAACTTATTCAGTGCTATCTGTTGTTCTAGGGAGCTAGCATGATCATCACCACCTAGTACTCGCCTACGCACATCATCGTTGCGGACACGCTGGTGCCATCCGACACCAGCAATGCTTCGCAAACAACGATGATCAAAGACTTGAAGGCGCCTCAGATCTTCAGACCGAAGGGGCCAAGTCTCACTACCATACAGCAGAACGGCCCTCACTGTGGCCTTGTATACACGGCCTTTCAGAGGGAGGGAAACTCCCTTCTGTCGCCAAAGATGACGCAGGTTCAAGAAGGCAGCTCTAGCCTTTGCAATGCGTGAGCTCACGTCAGTTTCTATGCGCCCATCATTGCTGATGCAGCTGCCAAGATAAGTGAAATGATCAACCACCTCGATTTCCTCGTTAGCAAGCGTCAAGGGGTCATCGAGTGGCTGGTGGTCCTGCAGCAACACTTTGCACTTTGAAGGTGCGAAGTGCATACCAAATAATGGGACCACTCTGGATAGGCTATTCAGGGTTGATTGTGCCGCCTCAACATTGTCGAAAAGCAAGACGATATCATCCGCATAATCTAGATCCACTAACCGTTCACCAGGCAGCACTTCAACACCTACATCGTGAGATTCCGCAAAGGAACACTCCATGATAGAATCCACGACGAAATTGAACAAAAATGGGGAAATCGGGCAACCCTGTCGAACGCCACTTGTAGTCGAAAAGCTATCCGATAGGGCACCATAGACCCTGACGCGGCCTCTAGTGTTCGAGTATAGAGCACGAAGGATGTTCACATATTTCGTGGGAACACCTTTCCGCGCAAGTATTTCGAACAGAATCGATCGATCGACTGAATCGAACGCACTCTTGAAATCGAGGAACACAGCTACTGTCGGTCTGCGGTATGCGTGGCGCTGCTCTAGCACCTGCCGCAAAGTAAATATATGGTCTATACAGCCACGTCCTGGCCGAAAACCAGCCTGCTCTTCTCTAATCCGAGATTCCCGTTCTGCAGTGAGGCGACGAACGATAATCGAGGCCAGTAATTTTGTCACAACTGGCGTTAGGCTTATACCCCTGTGGTTCGCACAGTCTGTGCGACTGCCCTTCTTGTATATTGCCACTATAATCGATTCGCTCCAATTAGCCGGCACACTCTCTTCGTTCCAGATACGTTCGAATAGGGAGGTCAGTGCTTTGCAGAGGACCTCACCTCCATCCTTAAATAGTGCAGGTGGTAGGGAATCCGGGCCAGCGGCACGAAAACGATTGAGGGCTGTGATCGCGTTTCGGACCTCAGCCTCCGACGGAGGCTCTAAACTAACCGTCCATGGCACGTCCTGCATCACCTGAGTAGGAAGAGGTCCGGGAGCAGGGGGCCAGCTGAACTGATGTTCAAAGTGCTCAGCCCAACGAGCCATACGGCGCTCCATATTGTGTATCAGCGCACCCGCGCTGTCCCTGATTGTCTCACTGACGCCTGGTTTTCTCGGACCAGTGGTGCGTATTAGCTGGAAGAGCTTCCGGTAATTGCCTACTGCTCCTGCCTCCTCCATTTCTTGAGTCCGACTGGTCCACCAGGCTTCCTTGTCAGCACGTAGGCTCCGCTTTAGTTCACGCCTAATAGCCCGTCTGGTCACATTGTGTTCAGAACCAGCCGGGAGGTGCCTTCTAGCATCCAAAAGGTTCACGGACCTCTCGGATATCCAGTGACTGGTGCGGTGACGACTGATAGTGCCACAAGCAGATGCTCCTGCGTCGTGCATAGTGGCCGAGATCCTATTCCACTGAAGTTCAGTATCATTAGGACAAGACAGCGAGAGTTCGCTATGCAGTGCTTCTTGATAGGCTTGCCTGACAGAGGGCTGGGACAATTTCTCCGTTGCTAATCGGGGGAGACGCTTTGTGCGCCTTCCGGTAAAGTTCATGGAGAAACGACAGCGCACCAAGGCATGGTCAGAGTCGACACAGGTACTCCAGTATGAGCGGCAATCCAGAATGGAACCGCGCCACCTGTAACTTATGGCTATGTGGTCAATTTGGGTCCATCGCTGACCAGCTACAGGTGGACGCCAAGTGGCACTTCGGCGCCCACTGTGTCTAAAAGCAGTGCTAGTAAGAAACAACTGGTGCTCCGCACACAGTTGCAGCAGACGCTCGCCGTTGTCAGTCCGTTCGGCGTTAAGTCCATACTTACTACCCAGCTGAGCTTCTGAAGAGCTCAGACGCCCTACTTGTGCGTTCATATCCCCTGCAAGTACTATAATATCTGAACTAGTAGCACTGCGTAGCAGCGTGTTCAGTTCGTGATAGAAAGTGTCCTTGACTGCATTAGAACTGCAGTCCGTGGGAGCATAAGCAGAAATCACAAACAAACAGCGTTTTGTTTTACTTCGCGAATTCACCTTAGCTGATGTCGTCAAACGGGCTGCACATAAACGGCTGTTCACCGGAATCCAATCAACCAACGATGACTCAGCCTTGGAGCTGAGAATGATACCTACACCAGCTTGACCCGTGAGTGCCGCATCGGCGTCTCCGGATGCGTGCAACCAATAACGAGAGGATAAGCCGGGTGCAGTCAATTCAATAACCCCGTTAGGGTCATTAATCCTAGTTTCGGACACACAACACACATCAACACCCAGAGTAATCCCATCTACGGCTTTTTCGATCCGCTGAACTTGTCCGCAGAAAATCACGAAGAGCCTTCTGGGATTGTTCGTTGAAAAGAGACCTGTTTCGTCGGCGTGTTAGAGGTTGTCAACATCCAATGCACTTAAAAGCGCAAGCAGTCGATCCTCCAGCCAATTGTAAAGGCTACACTGTCTGCGGCAATCTTTGCAACATACACACCTTTATACAGAACTTTTCGGTTTTTCCATCTTTGCAACCGTCCTTCTGTAGCAGCAAAGGCTTTTCCAAGTTTTTTCCATGATTTATTACTCGCTTTTCATCAGAAGCGGGCCTGTAACTGTTTGGTTTTGCTCACCTTCTGATATCATCCAGTCTTTCAATGCAGGTTCAACTTCTCCACCCTTTCCACATCGCATCCATTTCTGTGAGCTTTCAGTGCTAGGCGACAACTTCTGCCGGTGTTCCTTTTAGTTGGAAAACAGCCTGGCTATGGTAAGAGGAGTAAAGTTTAAATTCTGTTGTGCTTTTCATCCTAGCACTTCACAAACTACATAGCACAGCGCAGTCTGGAAAAGCAGCAGACGCGTTTCACCCTATTAGTGCTCGTCAGCGGTGCGCATGCCCTCGATCCTCCTTAGTGGGGATGCGCACCACTGACGAGTCCCAATAGAGCGAAAAGCGTCTGGTGCTTTTCCGGACTGCGCTGTGCTATGTAGCTTATGAGCTACTGGGAATTAAGCCTCAACAAAATTACAAGTAAAATCCTGCTACTTAAGAGTAATAAAATGTGTAAATCACGCGACAACCTGGTCTGATAGGTTCCTGGCGGAGAAGTTCTAATTTTGCCCCAAACATCCTACCTTTCTGTCAAAGACAAATGCTGTTTCTTTCTGGTCACACTGGTGTGTAACCAATAGAGTAGTGACAATTGTGGAGCCAAAAGGTTAATCGGAGTTGCTTATTTCTCACATTTGGAATAGGGTCGTGTGTTTTCCTGCAGCCATCTGTACGTTTAGCTTGCCCGTGTATTAAATGACGTAAGTAGCCTTTTCTGATAGGTCAATAACATCGCCGACATTTTTGTTGTTCTTTACTCGATCGGTCAGACTAGCTGTGGGGTACTCGTAATAATAGCTAGTCAGAGCGAGAGCGCCAAATTGTCAAAGCTACAACAGCACAGCCCACACAACTGAGCACGTAAGCAGTGGGACGACCCCGGCAATGGGCAATTCGTCGGTGAAAATTTAGAATAATTATGAGAAAAGAATCTATGTCTTAAAAACTGTGCAATAAAGCTGATTGCGTCATAAACCTGGTGGGCAACAAAGCAGGTTAGACAATATATGGTACTAGTGGAATCAACATAAGTGGTATTTACAGTCGTGATGACAGAAGACAGCGAGAAGTTCGCCATAAATCGGCATGCCTGTAGCTCTGATTGCCTGTTCAGTTTTAGGCTTGTTCTCCGAGCCGAACTATTTTGTTGCAGGCTTTTCCTCACCAATCGTGGTGGCTTCCTCAGTGCGTGCTAAACGGAAATTGACGGATGACAGAGTGATCAGTGAACATGGCCACATCGATTCACGTCCCGTGACCATTGCTAGTTTGTAGTTCGATCGCCACCTCGTTTAGACTCATGTGGTGAATGATCCGTCTTAAGTTCTTTTCTTGCAGTTGGTGGAAGATCGGGTCTACTTGAATGCGCAGGTTTATCGAGTTCTCCGTCTTCTCTTAAATAAGCATGTGCCTTTCATTTTCAAAGTTTGTCGAGACCATTGATGATGAATAATTGTTTCGACAGCCTCGCTTGTGTTCTTATTACCTGGTAGATAACTTTCTCCTTGTTTAGCTCACATAGCGGATATCACATTTTTCACACTGTATCCTGTAGACAACGTTGCGACCTTCATGTGATTCCGCCTTCC